GGTTAAGGCAGAGGAACGCAAAAAAAACAACACGAGAGGAAAATGTTTTTATGTACAAAATCAACGCAAAGTGCTTCTTTGCAGTAATACAGTATTCACAATAAATGTTCAAAAAAGGGAACAGTAATAGGAACTACAGCTGTTATTGGCTGGCAATGCACAATCCGATGCATCAGAGGATCATTCTCAACTCTGATTTCAAGCGTGATGGGTGAGTTTACGCACAGGGAAAGAGCTTACATGCATCTCATTTATGGTGCTGCTAATGAGAGCGGCAGAGCAGCGCTACGGTTGTACCAGGAACGGTTTCTGAAGCAGGCGTATGCGGAAGCACACCAATGTTCGAGAGGTTGCATCGGTCTCTGTGTGAAAATGGGTCATTTGAAGCCACCTCTGACACTAGGAGTGGAAGAAGAGCATGACAGCCTTGCATTGAAGAATCCATCTTGATCATTGTGCATGAATCGCCTTACACAAGTACAAGAGCTATTGCACATCGTCTGCAGCTGAGTCATTCCACCATTTGGAGAGTATTACATAAAAATGGTTTGCACCCATACAAGTTGCAGCGAGTCCAAGCTTTGCAAGAGACAGATTACCCTCTTGGAGTTCATTTCTGTCATTGGTTCTTGCAGCAGAGTGTTTCCTATCGGATGTGCTATTCACGGATGAGGCAACTTTCTCACAAGACAGGGTCTTCAATAGCCACAACATGCACATGTGGGCAACTCATAATCCACACTCATGCGTCCACATGCATTCCAAACCCGCTTCTCCGTGAATGTGTGGGCGAGTATTGTTAACGACTACCTTATAGGCCCATACCTCTTACCTGCACATACAAATGGCTTATGTTATCATATTTTTCTTGCAAGAGCTGCTACCAAGGAATTGCTGCAGGATGTTCCAGGTTGTCGTTCATGATTCACATGTAGGCTCCAGCATGATGGTGCACCAGCCCATAGCTACGTGCGGGTCCGCAATTACTTGCATGGGAAATTTCCGGGCCGATGAATCGGCCGGGGTGTACTCGTTCGATGGCCACCTCGTTCACTAGATTTATCCAGCTTGGATTTTTTTATGGGACCATCTGAAGAGCATCATTTACGAGACTCCCGTTGACTCACAGGAGGACCTCATTGCACGACTATCCATTGTGGGTGCAAGCGTGCACAAAATGCCTGTCATTTTTCAAATTATTCGTCAATTCTTTCTGTGACGTTACCAAGCATGTATTCTGCTGGTGGTCGTAATTTTGAACATTTATTGTGAATACTGTATAGCTACAAAGAAGCACTTTGCATTGATTTTGTACATAAACACATTTTTCTCCTCGTTTTTTGGTTCCTGCCTTAACCCGTCACTTTTAGGCCTTACATTCCTATAAAAAATGCATATTTTAGTACGCTCCACTACCCCTCCAAGTTTGTCCCATGATCTATGAAAAAACACCCTGTATATAAGTCTAATACATATCTTAAGTCGTGCTTTCGAGACACGAAAAACGCAAGTTGAATTTCGTCAATAGGCCCAGTAGAACGGGAGCTATAGAATTGTCTCCCCCCTTTTTCACGGTGTACATAAGAATTTTCATAGAAGATAAATAAATTATATGAGAGAAAGCCTTAAAAGTTCTAATACAAAACTTTTTAGTTTTGCCATGAATTTTGAGTCACTGTGACAGCAAATCAACAACTCAGCGTTCGTAGCGGTCCTTATAAGTCCTTATATTTGAAAATAAAATATAAAGGCCCTTATAGGTGCTTACTTTTTCTTTAAAGCCCTTATTTTTTTGTTTTTAGTGCTTATTTTTTGCTTTTAGTGCTTTTTTTTTTTTATGAACGTGCTATTTTTCCCCGTACCAAAGCCGAAACTAAATAAACAATTTTTCTTCCTAATATGGAATGTCAGATGGTGAATCATACTCTCAGAAATAGCTTTTCCCCTTTCTCTGCATTTACATAACCTTTGGTGTGCACGAAGAGTACAGAGAGGTGCCCGTCGTTCTATTGGTGAAAGCATTGCAAAAGCAGTAGAAATTTCCGGTACATTCGGCATTCTTTTCCTCCCACCCAAATACTACACATGTTTGAATTTCTATCAAGATCTTAATAATTTGCATTCATTCCACTTGGTCAGTTCATATTCGTGTTTATTATGATCGTTGTGCTTATATTATGAGCATATGTATGAATGTTTATAATAACATAATTGCAGTAACTGCTGAGGTATAGTAAACTTTCAAAAATGGTTGTGTTTTAACGCAGATTAGCTTTCTAACGAATAAATATTCGGAATGGCTTAAATAAAGGGAAAGTAATCGAATAGTCAAAATAATTTTGTTTTTTTGGCCAATACATTATACAGTATGAAGATTGGGTAGTTCTCCCCTTTCTCCGCAAAATCTCGAATATTGAAACTGTTATAGTTCGCTGCAAAACAAGCAACGGACATTTTTTTTTTTTTGGTCACTTTCTAATCTGGATTGAATAGGACTAAAAGTTCTGTGGTCTACCAACCCAAGTAGAGAATGATTCTATTCCAGAAATTTAACGCCGTCTGTTTAAAATTAGAATGAAAAGCACCCCAGTTATTTAGTTCTTTATCTCCCAATACCGGCAGCTGTTGATTTTGATTGCATAATATCACGTACGGAAGAATTATGGTGCACGTATTGCGCAATAACGTTTGTGATATTTTGCAGAGATAATTAATTTTGATGTTCTGTCCGAGATTTGTTTATGAACACTTAAAAGAGTTTTACTGTGCTTGCTAAGCAGAATATTTTTCAGTTCCATTAGTTTATTTTTATATGATGCGCATATCAAAATGTCGAAAGCATTTATTTAGCGGAAAAATTAAAGTCTACCCCTCCTCCGCTCCTCTTTTTCAAGTTACACTCGACTGTCCGAATATTCGCCAATTTCCAAGTATGCAGGTTAGTTAAGCTTTTACTGTTAAAGGATGACTGCATGAAGCAAATTTCTGTCTTATGATTTCAGAAATGTTCCCCTTTTTTACTTAAATTACTTTGCTTGCAATATCTGTTAAGGGAAAACTGATATACAATGCAAATTAAGAAAATGTTCAGAATTTAGATTTAAATTATTTAAATATCAATATGAGTGGAAAAATAAATTGCATTTATTATTAGGTTCCAAGCGAGTACAATAAATATGCCATATTATTATTTATTTTCTCTATTTTGAACTGAAATTTCATCATTAAATCTTGTAATATAGTTTAGTTCTGCATTGTTTTTTCTTCCTCTTGTTGTAAACTAGTTCTGTAAATTAAACTCTTATTTAAAATTTAAAAAAAAAAAAAAAATATTATTTTCCATGGTTGAGGTAATGCTTATTCTCCCTTAATAAATACTGCATTTCTGATATTTTAAATTACAAGTCTAATTTTTAAGGTTATGCAGTTGTGTATAATGTAATTAGACAAGTGCTTATTTTTTTCTTGAAATGTGCTTGAAAAGTGCTTATTTTTTTAACTAAAATGTGGCTATGAACCCTGACAACTGGACTGCTGCTGATGTAAGTAATATTTAAAAACACGATTTCTAAAAATAGAAACTTAATGGTTATTTTTAATTTTTTGTAAGTTTTCTGAATTCACGTTTTGTTTTCCCCCACTTCCTCCATAAATACCCATGCATTAACTAGTAATTTTTATCCTGTTCACTTAAGGACTATCTATTTTCATCTGATCAATGAAATGCTAGTTTAGCTCTTTAACCCTTTGTTGCATCATGTCCACTCTAGTAGACAAACGTTTAAATCTGTTTATTCTTCTGTAAATGCCTCAACAGATTCCATTCCTGTGGTTATTCATTCTATATTATTAGAATCATAGATGGCTATATAGCATCACTAGGTAAAACATTGTTATATGGAAAATGGCTGCTAATTTTTTTTCCAAGTTAGTACAATTTCTCATAGTAAATATTATATAATATTGCTTACATTTTCTTATACTGCCATTTTTTTATTCATAATTAGTAATTTTAGACATCTTATTTTAAATGTCAGTTTGAGAAAATAAAGATCTACAAAAAAGAGTGAATTGAAACCCAAATGTACTCTTATCTAGCCAAAACACCAGTGGAAATGTTTATGTTTGGCAAGGAATTTCTAGAACATTTTGACATTTGAATACCAATAGGTACAGGTTACAAAATCGTATCGAAAATGAAATTCAATCACAATCGACGAAATGAAAGGTATTTTGGTGGGATCTGTATGTACATGTCAATTAGTAAGATAATAATTACCATTTAGAAGATGGTAATGATCACTGCAAACAAGGCACGAAATGATTTCAAATGCAATGCCCGTAAATCATTGGGAAGAGATTTGTATGCATGTACGTATATGCATGCTGTCCCACTGTAGTGAACAAACTGTAGCAATTATTTAAAATGAAATTTGAATAAAATTAATTTTTTTATTATTACTAACGTTTTAAGTAGAAAAAACACATTTTTCGTTTAACTTCTCTAGATTATTTGTATGCAACAAAGGGTTAAAAATAATGTAAAAATAATAATAAAAATACCAAGCAAAATTTAGTTAAAGAATATATTAAAATCGTGTTAAATAGAAGTCATTTTCTTTTCAAAACGAAAATAATTCTAATTAATGGTTATCTGAAATAGCTCCCTCTCAATCAGTTTGGATAAATAGTTATTCTGTAGTTTAGCTGTGAATATTTTTACACTCTGATATCTACCCCTTTATATTACTGCCACATTAGTTCACAAAAGTACATTTATGAACTGTACTGTTCTTTATAATTACCTTTTTAAACTATTTAATTTTATTTTATTGTTTTGTTATTCTAACTAGAACGAATGCTGAATTAGAAATGATAAAAAGTGGCAATTAGTTTTTGCTGAACTATATGAATAATCACCAAAGCAGCTCAAAATATGTAATTATATCATTTTAACAAATTATTGCTTAACTCAGATTTGTAACAATAAGATGTGCAACTAGTTTTAAGAGAAAGATTTAATAAAATATTAAGAGCAGTTGTTTAGCTTATTTTTGATGCAACTGTTGAAGATAAAATTTATATACATTTTAAATGACAAATCTAGAAATATTCACTTCACTTGTTTGCATAAAAAGTAAAACTTTTCACTGGATGATATCGAACTAATTGCTAGGCATAATATCAAAATATTTATATTACATAATGAATAATAATTTGAAACATACAAATGCATGGGATATAAATACAAGATTCAGAAAAACTATGTAGTTATAAAAATAGTACGATTACAAAAAACTGAGCTAAAAATTGCACAATAAATACATTTTACGCTGAAATAACCTCATCCATTAAAATAGTTACAAGGACCAAGTGTAAAAATAAATCTGTTGTACTTCAGGAATGTATTCCATTAATGGACCTGAAAAAGTAATATTATTTAAAATCATAAAAATGATTTTATACCTAAGAATTAACACGTAATTCATCATATACATACACGACAAGCTGAATTTTTCTACATTCAACTATGCATATTACAGTCAAAAGTCTTTAATCTGGACGTCCATAATCCGGATAAAAACTTTTTGTGCATGCATGAACACATAATGCGTTGACGCATGCGCATAAAACTTTTACGTATGCACGTTTAATGTATAACAGACGGTATCAGCTAAGGTAAAATTATCTAGTTTTCTATTTCAGTTAATGTTGCAGATTGCGTTGTTCCTTAATCTTCTAATTGGATCCGGCTTATTATTTTTTGCAGACTGTTAGAGCAATTTGATAAAAGTAAACTTGAACTTTCGATTATGTCAAAAAGAATTTCCGATTCTGGAGCTGCCAAAAGATCTACAAAGCGAAAGCATGTTACGATGTCCATCAAACAAAAAGTGGAATTGCTGAAAAAAATGGATAAAGGCATATCCTTTGTTTCTCTAACCATTCCGAAATCTGTTTATCAATTTCACGCTGCTCGGGAGGGGGGGGGGCATCGCGGCACGCAATGAACTGGAAGTTGATTTGTCAGCACTATCCTTATCTTCAGGGCATTTTATTTGGCTTATAATTCCTGTAGTATTTCAACTCAATGTACTCTGTCCTTGATATGATTTAAATCAAATTCCTCGTCATTATAAATAACACGAATACACATCAAATAGTTTTCTGATTGCAATATTCCAATTTCGACTATGCGTAATGTATGGTTTAAGCATGCGCACGTTGAAAGAAATGTTCAATAAAATAAACAAATAAATATTAAGCTTTTTTTTTTTTTTTTTTTTTTTGTAAATTTTGATACTCTTTAGATTATAATTGCTTTTTATTTCATAAATTACGGTTTCATATTTTTAATTTTATAATTTCTGCATGACATCTTACCAGATTTAAATTGATGATCTATAATCTGGAAAAAGCGATAATCCAGAATCGCCGAAGTCCCGACGAGTCCGGATTAAAGACTTTTGACTGTATTTTTTCTTATTAAATATATTAAAACACTTACAGATAATGATATTAAAAAATAAATGCTTTGAAAATGACAGTTGGTGCCATCATGTTACTGATGACAACACACGCAAAATTTTTCTAAGATAGGCCTTAGCTGCAAGCGATATTTTGCCTTTCCCTGTTGCTTCTCTTGGATGAAGAATAAAGTCATAAAGTTTCTCCTTGCTAATGACATTGTAACCCCATTAACTTTTAAATCATGTGTTAGTTCTGTTCAAAGTGCATATATGGTTTCCCTCAGATCTCGAATGTTTTGTGTGTTTTATTTGGCAATATTTTAGTCAGGATTACTGTTTTTATGCAGTTTTCCTCTGTTTTGGCCAAAATTTTGAAATTAATATTTGATCTCATTTTATCAACCTAATTTTCTCTACATTAAAAGCACATATGTATTTGCAATGACAAATATATATATATTTCTGACAATGACAAATATATTTATTTCTGAGAACTTGTTTTTATTTTATTTATTTATTTAAATTTAGATAACTTTTATCACAAATTGTTCTTTAACGGTTGAATTAATGAACACAAATATTTGATCTTTACACATTTTTTTTACTGATATGGCAACGCACACAAAGGTATCTAACAAGGGGATGTACAGAGCTGGTTTAAGTAATATCATGGCTACCCACAAGCTGGAATTTGTAGACCCCTAAAGGGGTCTCTGTCATAATTGTTATTTTCAAGAGAAGGTTTCTAAAGACTATTACATAATTTATTGTCATAACCAATTTCTTTCGAAAACAAAAATTGTAAACACATACACAACACATTTCATACAATATACAGGATTAAATCTGTTCCTTCTTTTCATTCATCCATTTTCTATGGTGTCCGCCGATAACATCGCGGCAAAAACATCGTGCCGAAAACGTCGCGGAGAAAACAACGCAAGGCAAAAACTTCGTGCTACAAAACATCGTGGGAGAAATCATCGCAAAGAGAAAACATCGCAGTCCTAAAACATCGTGGTACAAAACATCGTCGTCGAAAATAAAGCAGTTTAAAAACATCGTCATCGAAAATATCGTAGTAAAAAATAAAGTATCTACAAATCATCGCATGACGATAACATCGCAGACATGCTTTTTCCATACATGCTTTAATAACTGTAAATGAATATTCCCATAAAGATTTGTGAGCGCAAAATGTAAAGAAGGATAATTTTTACTTTCACATTTTTTATTAACTAATAAATTTTTTCTGAAAAAGTAAGAAGGAAACTTAAGCATAGAAAATTAAATGCAACTTATAGATTATACTTTTCACGAAAAATTACCAGTAAAAACTTTATAAAAAATTATTTATTAATGGCCTTTGTTAGTTAACTATGTCGGTTTAAAATTCTATTAATTGCTATAAGTTGCATTAATTTGCTATGCTTAAGTTTCCTTCTTACTTTTTCAGAAAAAATTTATTAGTTAATAAAAAAATGTGAAAGTAAAAATTATCCTTCTTTCCATTTTGTGCTCACAAATCATTATGGGAATATCCATTTACAGTTATTAACGCATGTTTGCAAAAAGCACGTATGAAAAAAGCATGTCTGCGATGTTATCGTCAAGCGATGATTTGTAGATACTTTATTTTTTACCACGACATTTTCGACGCGATGTTTTTAAATTGCGAAGTTTTTGAACCGCTTTATTTTCAACGACGATGTTTTGTACCACGATGTTTTAGAACTGCGATGTTTTCTCTTTGCGATGATTTCTCCCACGATGTTTTGTAGCACGACGTTTTCGCCTCGCGTTGTTTTCTCCGCGACGTTATCGTCCGCTATGTTTTTGCTGCGATGTTTTCGGCTGTAACCATTTTCTATAGTTTAAAATTTTAACTTAATGAATGTTTTTCCTGAATAACTCATGTTATATTTCCAAGCTCTACTGCACTCTCCTTCTTCTTTAAAACTGAACAATTTTTTCCAGTTTCAGTTTTCTGTAATTTTATTTCTTATTTAATTGCATTGTTTACTCAATTATACCTAGTGTTTCCTTTGAACATTTACATAAATCATGGTGTTTTCTTTAACAAATCCATCTTATACTTTCTTTTTACATAGTGACGGATAACACGAGCACAATTTACAGGGACACTACACAGAGGAAAACTATATCAACTAGAAATTCTTGATGGATAAACACATTTATATGGTCACATAAACAGTGATTTATAGTTGTTCCTGCCCAGATTACAGTTTATCTATTGAAAAAATATTCTACATACAAAAACATCTGATCACAGATACAGCATACACTTGTAAAAGTTGTCTGTGAAAAAGGCTTTTAAATCCTATGTTTGCACTCAATCTAACCTGAAAATCCTGGGTGCACTAAAAAGCATACCATCTACTAAAGAGTATATGTTTTACTATTGGTATTTTGGAAATTACGGAATGAAACATTCTAGGAAATAACAACTGAACAAAATCTGATTCCTAAATTTTTATTAAATCGTTAAGACTTTAATTATACAGTCAAAAGTCGTTAATCCGGACTCGTCAGGATTTCGGCGATTCTGGATTATCGATTTTTCCGGATTATAGATCATCAGTTTAAATCTGGTAAGATGGCATGCAAAAATTATAAAATTAAAAATATGAAACCATAATTTATGAAATAAAGAACAATTATGATCTAAAGGGTATCAAAATTTACAAAAAAAAAGCTTATTATTTATTTGTTTACTTTATTAAACATTTCTTTCAATGTAAGTTGTTTAAGTTGCTTCATTTTTTATGTGATAATACATTCTCTTTAATTCTATAAACAGACATAATTTCTTGTTCAGTTACAAAGTTCCGCTGTTCAAGTCCTATAATTGCTGTGTCGAGAATACGAAATAATTTGTCAATTGAAATTTTTTTTGTTTTCAATAACCTCTGTCACTTTCTTCGCTATCGGAAGCGAATTATAATGACGAGGAATTTGATTTAAATCATATCAAAGACGGAGTACATCGAGATGAAATACTACATTTAGTAAGGAATTATAAGCCAAATAAAATAAAAACATCTGCCCTAAAGATAAGCATGGTGCTGACAGATCAACTTCCAATTCATTGCGCGCCCGCGGCGTTAAAGATAAACAAACGTTAAAGTTTAGATAAACAAAGGATATGCCTTTATCCATTTTTTGCAGCATTCCACTTTTTGTTTAATGGACTTCGAAACATACATTTGATCCTTTGTAGATCCTTTACATATTAGTAAATATATATCAGAAATTCTATTTGACATAATCGAAAGTTCAAGCTTACTTTTATAAAATTGCTCTAACAGTCTGCAAAAAATAATAAGCGAATCCAATTCGAAGATTGAGGAACAACACAATCTGCAACATTAACTGAATTAGATAATTTTAGCTTAGCTTATACTGTGCATTATACATTAAACGCGCATTCGTAAATGTATTTTGCGCACGCGTATTCGTAGCCGTAAAGCTCTTACGCGCATGCGTCAAAGCGACGCAAACGCAGAAAGTTTGTAGCTTTGAGGTCCGGATTATGGCTGTCCGAATTAATGACTTTTTACTGTATTAATCTTTTTGTAACATTCAGAAAGGATTCTGTTTTAGACATGTTTTGGCAATCTGAAAATTGCAGTAACCTGGAGCACTTGGACCTTAGCTATCCTATTAGTTACTAATAAAAAAAAGCAAAGAAAATACTCTTAGTATATACTCTATGCAACACCCTAAGAAAGAAAGTAAATAGCATAAATGATTTTTTGAATAATGATGATGTGCGGGTTGGATTAATTAGTAAACAATATAAACACATGCTTACAGGTCTCCAAGGCGAAAGTCGGAGGAAATCAGAATTTATCTGCCTTTTTTTTTTTTTTTTTTTAATCTGCTTTTAAGCCAATTCAAAGTTTAAAAAGAGAAAACTGGGGTGTCAGTTCTGGAGTCAAATAAAGCATCAGTCGGTCTTAATCAAGCTTTGCTATTTGTGGATCAGTTTATAGAGGAATTATATTTTTTCTTGAGAAAGAAAACATAAAAAATCAATTACAGACATGAAATCAGTTAACATTCAGATGTATTTCTCAGATCAGGAGAATTATTTCCCTCCCTTACCATAATGGGTTCTTTTTTAGGAATGAGATATGACATATCTAAGGGCTTTCTTCAGAGCCTCATACATTGGCATACTTTTCATACATTCATTTATGTCACTGGCAGTAATCATAAACACTCCCCTAGACTTCCAAAGAAAGGTAATTACATATTAACATATTCCAGATCATAAGAAAGGACAACAGTTGTTACTACCAAATAGGCAACTACCAACAGCCAAATCACTGTAGTCCTGGTGATTAACAATTTTGATTTTGAGAATTTATAGTACAGAAGTACTGTTCCAATTAGAAATTACACTTTTTTTGATTAATTTTTGCTTATGCTTGTTATACAGTAGTCCTAGACCATTGTAAATTCATGGTTCATTTCTTGTGCAAAGTTGCAATGTAATTTGCAACAAGTATAGGGCAGATTTGCAGTAAATGTATGAAAAATTATTTAATGCAAAAAAATATTGTGGGGATCCTCTAAAGTTTTGCCCCCTCCAACAGAGGATGTTGTGGGGCCTAAATAACTGCCTTGCTTCTGTAGAGGATTTTTTAAGATAAACAGGCTTATATCTACGTTACACAAGAGGAAGACCATGAATATTCTCACTTTTCCATAATCTGCAGATTAAAAAGCATGAATTAAAATACTTTGTAAGATTTTCACTGTGAAGTTACTGTAGAAAGTGATGAATCTTAAGAACTAGTTAGCGAATAATCGCTTAAGTTCGTGTGCCAAGAAACGACAAGATGGAAGGATAACTAACCCTTTATTATTCCAATAAGATTTAACAAAACTCCATCTTGGAGTGTACAATCAAAGCCGACACTCGGGCATGAACTTAAGAGACTAAGAATTAAACTAAAAGTAAGATTAACTAAAGAATAAAGCCGAAGCTATCAAGTTTCTAATGCAGTTGGCCCCTTAAACACCAGATGACTGCGAAGCTATCAAGGGCTGAGTACGGCCGAGTGTAATAACAGCTTTGACAGAGAGAGTGGCCAAAAGGCAGATGCACATAAATCAGAAACTGATTCTCTCTCGCTACGACCAAAGAACTTCGCGGTTAAATACCGCTCTTCCTCATTATGTATTCAGACGTGATTCTAAAACTACGTTCTGGCTGGAAGTAGTAAGTTGAAGTTAAGAATTTGACAGGAAAGGAACTTTAACTTAAAATTTAACTGTTAATAAAATTAACATAATCCTTACAACTTAAACAAAATCTTTTTATAGTCCATGGTTTTAGGTAAACTCTCTCTCCCCCTCACTCACACACACATAAAATAAATAAACAGGGGGGACTCTACAAATGCTAAATGTAATAAAAAACATTTAGTTTCAAATAAGTTAAACTGTTATTAGTGAAGTTCTTCTCTTTAATAGTAGTACAAGTGTATCATTGTTTATTTCTTCCCCCTTTTCTTTTTTTTCTACCGTCCTGGGAAAAAAAAAAAACCACCCATGTTTCCAAATGTCTGTTTTATGTTGTAAGATTCTTTTTCAAAAATTTCAAAACAAATATGTGTATAAAATACATAAAAATTAAAATAAAGAACCATATCATGATCCCTAATATACTTCATTCATTTGACTGTAATGAAAGTGAACTTCTGAGATTGGGATGGAGTAGGCATAAAAAAATTTAATTCAAAGCATTGAAAAGGGTGTAAATTTTTTTTACCTTTTGATGGATGGTATTGGGATGGGAAGACATGGACCATTCTTATTTCATCAATAATAAACACTAAAATTATTAGTGCTACTTAACAGAACTTTTTCTTCACTATATTTATTATTTTTAAAATCTTGTTGAAGAATTTATTATGCCAAATAAAAAAAACAATAAAAATGTAGCTTACGCAGTATCAGTCCACTTCCTATAACATTATCAATTATGCTCTTAAGAAAGGCTATAATTTGACACCTGTTAAAAAAATGACACAATGAAATCAATCAATTTATATGCATTTCATGAACATTTTTACATAATTTTTTGAAGTTTTTACATATTTTTTAATTTGTATTAAAAAAAAAGATGTTAAGAAGCTGATTTTGTCAAAGAATAGTAATTTTCAAAGTCAGAAAACATAATTAAGCTTAGCTCTCATTTTATCATATTTAAATTTCACTTTAAAATGAAAATAAAAATTGATTGCTTATATAAATTTAATATGGAAAAAGTAGTTCTTTATAAAAATAATTTATGATAAAAGAAATAATGGTGTAATAAATAATGCCTTCTTAACTGAGTGAGATAATTTAGTTTACTTCAAATTTGAATAACATGACACAGAAATAAGAAAGACACTAAATTATTTTCATAAAAGTCATCAGACTTTTCATGGTCACACTCTTACTGATGGGTGCAAAATGTGATGGCAAAAATAGAAGTTATCCATGATCAAACAGTGTTTCACTCAGCCCCCATTTTTTTTAGGTTCCTATACTGCAATAGGGGGAAAAAAAAAGTTTTTAATTTATTCTTTCTTAAAATGGTGCATTACAGTACTGTAAAACACAAGTATTCCATCTTTTATGCTCTGTCATCTTTAGAAAACTTTGTTATTTTAAAGAATGCTCTGCAACCTTTAGATACTTGTGCTAAAAATGCCAGAATCCCTTACTTTAATTTTAGATTCATAATTCTCAAAAATGGTTTTGTAATCTTTTTCATCCATATTTCATAAACAAGTATACTACAATGTTATTATAACTTTGCATTACAGTTTATTTGTTACAATTTGCATTACACAGTATTTAATACTGGTGTTGCTTTTCTTTGCTTAATTATCAGCTAAAAGTGACTATATACACATGTTGCACAAATATCGTACCAATATAAAGTTTGCTATTATTTGTAGTAAACCCTAAAATGCATTTACTTTTAGGTATGGGGGCAGTATGGTATATAGAAAACAGATAATGAATTCATTTTGCCAAACAGATAATATGTACTGCTAAAACTAAAAATATTTTTTAAAAAATGTATGTTTGTATGTAATATATTAACAAAACAAATATCAAGTTGTTTTTAAAGATTGTAATAGAATTTTCGATTAAAAAATATTTTATAAAAAATTAAAAATATCACTTATATTTTAAAATAAATATACTCACTTCAAAATACAAATATGAAACACACAAAATTTTTAGTCTATTTCTTTTAAATAATTCTTAGTTTAGTAGATAGATTTAAGTAAATAAGTAACTACTACTAAATGGACAAGAATTCTCATCTTTTACAAGATTAACTTTATGCAGGTTTAAGATATACTGCTTTGTGTTTATATTAAATTAGGGGAAAACTATGTAAATAATCCTATGAAGCCAAATTTTTCTGGCAGTGCCAGAATATGAAATTATCATAAAACTTTCAGTATTTGGTAATTTTATCATGGATGTTTCATCTCTTACAATATGGAAACTATTGCATATACATTACTCTACTTCATTATATATATTTTTAATTGAAACATAAAAAACGTGCCAGCCGCTGTCTGGTACTGATTTTGCTGTACCAAACAGGACAATCTCCGATGTCCTTTTATTTATGCCCAATACTTTGGCATCTACTGTTAGTTTCACCGTCATTTATCCTTTTTGCATAAATACTAGCAATTATGCAAATACATCATTTAAAAAAAAACTACCACTCATGCAGTTTCAGAGATTCTAATTCCAACTCTTTGGGCCATTACAATCTGCCTTCTAGCAAATTCGTTTAAGATCAGCAGCCTTTCCTATTACTTGCAAAAGTAAGTGCAAGAATGATTCCTTACCTTCTCCAGCAACAGTTAACCATTCCCACTCAATAACATGCCCTCCACGTCATCCAGATGAGTTCTTTGATATACATGGGGATGGTCATAATGTTTTGGCTTGTCAGTGTATAATTTTTAATTTGCAATAAAATCCTATCAGTCATAAATAAATGTGGTTCCAAATTAATGATGCATAAAATCTTTCATTTCTCTCTGATATTAAAAAAAATGCATTATTCATTACTGTGTATGTTAGTCTTTTTTTCTGGACCTGTTAACATCTTGCAACATGTGTTGTTTACATTATGAACGTTACAATACAATACATTTCCAATGCCCAAAAACAGGTCAAATTTTATTTCTTCTGTACATTATTGACTGAAATAAAATCTAAATGTTATGATAGAATTTTGGTGTTAACATATAGATTTCAAGTCTCCACATTTTCTCAATTTTTTATTTTATTCAAATGGTAATATACTTTTTAATACCTTAATATCTTTCTGTTTATACCATTTTATGAACAGAAAAGAAATGCTGGAAACATTCCTTTTTTAGTTGCATTTTAATTTTATTATAATTTTATCAGTAGGCAATGGCATGTATTATTTAATCTTTTGTTTTCTTTTAACGTTCCAAGTTATTTTGATTAATAAAGATTATATTTTGTGACTAAACAAGATGAAGAACTATATTGAACCAAAAACTTCTTGCTTCACTCACTTTTGAAAAATAAAATATAAGGTGCTAATATTGTTTTTGTAGTTCTCTTCCTGGACTCACACAATTCATTTAACTTGTTTGGTGGGTTTTTTTTTTTTTTTTAAATATTTATTTTTCTTTCCAATTTTCACAGTGAATAAAATAGTATTTTAAAATGACAGTTATAAAACATTCAAAGAGGTGCTTATTTCAAATAATTATTGTTATCAGTGATACTCAATACAGGTATTTAAACAATGTTTTTAGAAATCTTGTCTGCTTTTAGATACAGTATTCCTGAAAGCATAATTTAAACATGAAATGTTACATTGAATTTAATGATGAAACAGATGTGGCAGTGGTGCAACTGTCTAAAGTAAGCAGAGTTCACTTATCAACATCACAGATTTGAGGGGAAAAAATTATTGTTTTGATTATGGGAAAAATTTTGCTCCATTTAACTAATTTCAATTTCATATTTTGAATATTGTTTCCTTTTTTGGGGTATTTCATGTTTTTCAAATACTGTATTTCACTGAATAATATGTTATCAGGTAATTATTCATCAATATAACTATCTTTCAGAAATTAAGCTTTTTATTCTCATATTTCCATTTTAAAATTTTTCAGATGATTTAATTTTACTGTTCATTTACTGTTACGGTCAAAAAGCAGTTTAGAACTGACATTCTTTCACAAACCAGACTTTTATGAACTTTGTGAATTTTCTAAAATGTATATCTAAAAGGAACATGTATTTGATTACTGAATATATTTCTCATTTGACATAAACATTTTCATGACCATATGAAGCAGAATAAGCATTATTAACACCAACTATGTTTACAAAATCCAGAAATATTTACAGAAACTAGGCATTTTCTGAAGCAGAATATTACCTTGAAATGCAGACTGTCCCAGATGATCCAAGATGTCTGATCTTTATTTACATTAATCTAAATTATTTTGCATTGAATTTACAAGGATGCTAAAAATATATGCTAAAATGAAAATGGGAAAAAATCATACTTTGAATACTGATCATAAAATGGAGATCTCAACAGGTAAAGAATTAAAGATAAGGCACGTCTGTTGATCTCAAACTTTTCCACTTGGTTGAAGTTCTTACTTTTCCTTAATATATTCCAGCTAATACAGAAAACCATGACAAAAGTTAAAATAAATAGATACATAAATAAAACTGATAACTTTGTGAAATTCTTATGTTAATAATATGTAATACAAGTTTTTTTAAAGAATGTCTACAGATTCCTAGAATGCTAAGCAAAGGGAACCACAAAAACCTCAGCAAATTCTAATAATGAAAAAGATTTATGCACATTTATTGGCATACATATTACAATGATTTAATGGTGTCTAAATAAATGAGGAGATTTTTTGCCATGAATGATTACACCTTTTTTTTTTTTTTTTTCATTGTAGTTTATCGATATGAAATAACTGTGAATTTTTCCTTCACTTGGCATTATAATAATCTGGTAGATATCCTTTAAAAGATTTACAGCTAATTTCTGTAAACTTTTATTTCCCTTTGCATTATACTGCAAGGAAGTTGGTACTTAAAAATGGTTCAGCTTTTTATATTCAATATAAAATTGTTCTGATCTGTTATTTAATCAACTCAGTTCACATATGTTTTAAAATTATAATTTAAATTGAAACGTGTTAGTAAATTGTCTGGAAATGGAGATAATAGCAAGAACATCTACTAAATATGCAACATATAGTTTATTATCATAAAAGACGGTACAAAATAATTTTTTAGAGCTATTAAGGATTTGCACTACATGTTTATTCAGAAATCAAAATCAGGGAGAATACTTTAAATTTCACATTTTCACACAAAGATAATGCACAAATTGATAAAAAAAATTATTTTCTTTTAACAATACAATTTAAATCAACAGCTCTCACACACCACTGACCTTTTCTCATCCCATGTCTAGCTAACACCCAAAGTTATTCTCCTCTAGAGGTCTTTTTTTTAAATTTAAATGCCACATTTCAAATAGTTGGTAAAAATAAAACAGCATGCTATTAAGCTACACATAAATGGGTTTATTACATTAAAAATTATGAATTACTTACATGCTTATTGGTATATATTGTCTAAATTATAAACATAATTAAAAACTATTTTTGTTGAATTCACTTTGCTGATGCCTAAATTGAACTTTGGGGATCACAAGATTTCAGCCATGCATCAGCTATTCTTTACTCTGAATTTTTTGCTACAATATGAGTCTACCAATTTCAGGTTGCATAAGTTTCTCTACAATGACAAACCTTCAGGGAAGACAAACTTGCCACTGATTGAGAACCCTTGATAAACATCATTAGTAGAAAAACAGTTTTTAAGCTATCAAATCAATTATGATTAAGAATATTACATAGTACAAAAATTATATGGAATTTGAAAACTTGAAAGGAACAGCAATAGAGAAAACTATGATTTTAATAATTTCAGTACCTAAGAAAGCTATTAAAATGATCTTTTAGCTTAAATATGGTACCAGCTTGAAGCACAATGAAAATTTATTTCTCCTATCCGCAGATTCTGTTCTCAGCTTTATTCATTTAGAAAACCAATTATATCGTTGATGTTGATGAAACTTGCATTCAACTATAAGTTTCTTAAATGGTGAATTTATTCAGTGGCTGTTTTCGATAAAATACAGGGTGTTTATAAAGTCCCGGACCCATTTTGATGTAACTTCTGATGATTCTTCCATTTTGATAACTCATAAAATAATAAAGATAGATTAAAATTAATAACATAAATGATTAGATAGACTCAAAAAGTTTCATGACCCTTGTCAATGATACTTCACATGTGCTCCTTTCGTTGCACGGAGAATATCAAGTCGATATTCAATTTCACGCCAGGTGACGGCATGCATGTCGCCATCCACAGAGGCTATTGCGGTTGTAATTCGGGCTTTTAGGTCATCAATGTTGGACACTCTCCTCCTGTAAACATTGTCCTTTACAAATCCCCATAAGAAAAAATCCAGCAGAGTTATATCAGGTGATCTGGGTGGCCAAGGAATTGGACCTCCTCGCCCAATCCATCTTCCTGTAGAATGGTCATTCAAAGAACTACGAACGATGGTAACCTAATCTTGTTGCAAAAAAACATGTGGCTGAAGCTCTTCTAGTTGTGGAAATACGAAATTTTCCAACATGTCTAAGTATACAACTGATGAGACCGTCTTTTCTGCAAAAAAGAAAGGCCCAATGACTTGGTCATGCATTAGTCCACACCACACATTAACCTTTGGGGAATCCCTTTGTACCTCACGGTATTCATGGGGGTTTTCAGATCCCCATATGTGCACATTATGGCGATTAACAATGCCAGGAAACAAAAGAGAGAAAAATGCAATTAATAAGCAGACGATATTTCGAAAAGTACAGATATTTAGACTGGAAAATGAAATTATCTGAAATTAACCACACGTGCAGACGATATTTACAAAAGTAAAGATATTCAAACCTGAAAAGGAAAAATATATAAGTTATTCCATCAATAAATGCCATAAATTTGTTTATATCTTCATTATTTTATGAGTTATTAAACATGAAAATGGGTCCAGGACTTTATAAACACCCTGTATTATAACATGCAACAGTGATATTACTATTATATGCAGAGAGGGAACATGATAAGAAAACAGATTACTGATAACATAAAATGTAACATCTTTCTTTACACAACTGGCAAGCAAAACTTTCATGCAAAAAGTTTACTTTTATCAAAATATTCAATAACTAAGAATATCTTTTTAAAAAGCCATAAGAATAATTTAATCCACTGCAAAATCTTTTTTCTTTTTTTTTCGGGGGGGGGGAGGAAAAAATTCAAACATTTGTTCAAATGCAACTTTCTTCTGGTGAGCAAAAATGAGGTCAACTAAAATATGATGCATCACAGATTATAACTTGAAAATTACAGCATATCATAATAGTACAGCATAAAAAATGAGGTATCAAACTGAGAAATTAAATGTATCCTAAAAGTTACATCTGATATCAGACAGTTAAATTTTTCTAAAATAAACAAACAAAGCTACTATATTCTAGGGAGTTTGCAAACATTTAATAACACTTTTTTTAGGCATCTGAAGAGTTTACACGTTATGAATTTAACCACATAAAAAACACTTCTAAAATTTGCCAATATATATTTTTAATATAGTAAAAATTCCAATAATATATATACCTAAGGATGAAGGATTGTGCAGATTAGTGAAATTTTACGGATTATAGGATATTTTTCAAAACTTTGTTCACATTTTGCTCTTTATCATTTTTTCTTTAAATGAGGGTTATTTGCATGTAAATAACTAACTACATGCACTTAACATATTACAAGTTATTTAATCAAAATTTATGAAATATAAAACTATTGTTTTTTAAATATGATTATACACAAAGAAAGTAATGTAACAAAGAGATAAAACAGAAAAATCCTTTGAGGAAGTAAGGAATTCTTTTTTATAGAAACACATCAAAGAACCCATATGTAAAAAATGGGTACTTTTTGTGTTAACGGGGCACCACTTTGTGCCAAACAAAAATGTTAATGGAAAACCTAACTAGATGACAGTAATCCTAACAAAACATAAAGCTTCAAGAAAAAATTAACTGGTAACAACTGTAATGTACCACATAATATATATGCATTTAATATAGTGATGCTGCATTTGTTCAATTCTCACTTTTTAAGAAGAAACAGACTGCTGCTTACATGGGGGAAGCAAAAACATCAGAGAATTGCAGAAATTCAACATTGTACATAGCCTTGGCACTATGCATATTTAACATTACAGAGCTATTTATGACATATTATAAACAGACTATCTCATTTCATTTGGCACTTTGGCACATATTTGACAACTGGCACCTCATTAATAGAAAACTACTAAAAATTGCATGTCTGTTAATAAAATTACTTTCAAATACTTTTTATGCTCTTAAACAAGAGAAAATCTAAATTAATATTTAAATGTACTGTTTAAAAAAAACTTAACAGTAGAGATTTTAATAAACTGAATCCAATAATATATGATAATAAATCCAATAACTGAATACATTATAATCTGCACATGCACAACTAAATTAATAACAAGCATGGTATTGCAAAAAAAAAAAGTAACAGTGATTCAAAATCTATGTTTGCAATAAAAAGGAAAGCTTATACAGATACACAAAAGCCTGACGAAGTTGAAAACTAAAGATACTTGTTGGTTATGTGGGACCTGCACATACAGTGCTGCCAAAAATACCACCTACAATTCTGATTTTTGCAAGTATTTCACAACCTCAGAAGCTGACCAGGATTCTTCTACAAAGAAAAAATATTTATTTCTTTTTCTTGTTAAAGCTCTCCCTTCTTTTGGTGGGAGATTTACTTTTCTTTTTAAAACTTCAATTTCTTCTTTGATTCAGAGACTGGCATTCAGATGCAAACAATGGAACATTTATGAGATTTATCAAAATGGGAAGCTAAGGGCAACATGTATATATATAGCTCATCATCACTTGTCTTGAATGCAATCACCAAACAATGCCTGATGAAATTCAAAAACCCACATTTCATCACAAAATTTTCCCAATCCATTGTTCATAATACAGGGACCAAATAACTAACAAGTACTAAAAAATTACTAGAAATGAAATTTCCTATGATGAATTTATTTAAATTCAAAATTCTGTATGTTTGCACTCAAAATTGAGTGCATATTACACACATCTGCAGATTAAATGGTCACAGATTAGCAGAATACTAAAGCACTTGAAACATATTTGAATTTTGAATAGAATAAAAGATTCAATTCAAAATCTGTGTACCATAAAGCAATAGATATAAATATTTTTACCTTGTGGCATCCATTCCAAATGCTATGAGCCAAGGTTTCCAAGAAAATTCTCCAAATGCTTGGAGTGACAATACTATAAATTTGTTGTTAAGGTAGCTCCCTCAAAAAATGTCTCCTTAAAATTGTAAAACACAATAATGCTCAATATAATATTCAGAATAATAAAATTAAACTAATACCAGAATAAAAGATGACCTCATTTTTGTTTTTGGAATTTCTGAGGTAATGGATTATGAACCTTTTCAGCATTACAGACATAAATTCCATATGGAAGGATATCTTTCAAATTCATTACACATGAAAATTTCTGACAGTTTTTAATGCATCCAGTTCCAGGCTGGATGTATATTGGAAGAAAATGAATCAAGGTACAAAGTGAAAGAGCTGTTTTTCAATTATAACTAAGAAATTATCATTCATTCACGACATTTTGAGAAAACTTAAAATTTCAGAGCTAAACCCATAATGCTCAGAGAGATAAATTTTTAAGTAGCTTGTATTAGAAATTTTATATGCATTTTCTAGAGATTTTAGGATTATTTCTTTAAAAAATATTTAAAAATACTAAAATATTCATATACAATAAAACCTCTCAACCTCTTAAAGTAAGCAGTACTTCTAAATGATGCCCTACAATCTATTTCTCTAACAATTGATGTTGAACATGACTCTTCATGATGCAAATATCAATACCAAAATTACTAATACCAAAATTGTATGGAACATGTGTGACCATCTAGCTTAATGTATTTCTTTTAGGAAGTATACAAATCAGTCCACCCCACTTAATTGTCCTTAGCTTATGCCTCAAACAAATGGATCGGAGAAATGTAAATCAGCATTAAAAAGTAGTGACAAAATACAATCATTTTTTGATTCCGCTGATAAATACACCAAGATATGTTACTACTATTTGTAAGACAGTTTTCAAATTCTGCCTTTTCTACTATATTTTTCTGTTAAGGAAGCTAAAGGCTGAACTTACATGAAAATATATATATATATATATATATATATATATATATGATTTTATCAGAATCCATATATTCATTGTAGATTCTTGATATGGCGGTTTGGGATATAGAGCCCCCATCTAGTCTAGTCCCAACAATCTGGTTGTAATCTTAAGTTTTACTCAGCAGCAACTGTAACATTTTTCTTCACGTACGTTCATACAGGGTTCATGGATTTGGAGTGAGTAACAACAATACTTGATGAAGTATCAAAACACACTTTAGGCCGGTATTATTCAAGACAGCTCCAAAAACATGTTTTACAGTCATCGAAGAACTACTATAACGGTAATGTCACTGTTATGCCACTCAGAGAATGCTGTGTAGGCTTACAAATAGTGTTTTACTATAAAAAATACATTATATTTATATTATATTGACTTCCCTAAGAGAGCTGATAATACTTAATTCTAATTGAAGCCAATACTTCAGCAATCTACAAAAATAATCATTTTATTTACAAAGCAACTTGGATTGCATTGATGGTTCACTACTTACTACATCACAAACTGAACTAACTAACATTCTTTTCTCAGAAGAGAAGCGCCCTCCAACGGCGATATAGAAATCTTTTGTAGGGTTTTTCCACACAAAACACCTGATAATTTTTGCAAAAATTATCACTATTTCAGCATACAAAATAACTCAAATGTAGGAAAGCAAGTTAAATATCAAGTACATTTACCTGATGTAAACTTAAGCAGCAGAAGGAAATTCTATAAAGCAAACAAATATAGTTAACAGCATACAATTCAAATGTTACTCAATAAGTAAATATTAATTCGAATTACAAACAGTAAATTATTAGTAAAAACTAAACTAATTATCTAAAATTTATGTTAGTGAACATGAAATATAAGAAATAAAATTAAAAAATTACGAAATTAGTTCATTTTCTGTCAGATAGTTCAAGGGGGTATATCAATTGCACAGGTCTCTTAAAGTCCCCTTTTTTAGTTATTATCACACATGATCATACAAGACCATCACATCCTTTAAAAACTTGAATTACTCAACCTAAATCCCAAAGGAACTTAGATTTAGTTGTTCCTTCAAATAAAACTACATCACCAATTTTAAGATTTTTCTTGGCTTTGGGAATACCAAAGAAGTGAGCATTTCTTAACTCAAGAAGATACTGACTTTTCCATTTTTTCCAGAACTGTTTTATAAGTGTTGTCTGATATTCTTTTCTTTTTATTAGACTCTTTCTTGTTGGAGAGCTATTCAGGATCTCAGAAAAGTTGTATGGATATTCATCTGTCTCTATGTCTGATCAATAGAAAATCAGCCGGCGAAAGCGGTTCAGGTTCATATAAATCGTTGTAAACGCAGATCAAAGGACGTCTGTTCATAATATTTTTTTACCTCTGTCAACACAGTCATAAATTCCTTAAAATTCAGTTGAGCTCTGCCTAATATCTTTTTCAACGGTTCCTTTATGGTTTTCATAAGGCATTCATAAAAAGCTCTCCACCATGGAGCAACCTCGACGATAAATTTCCAAGTCAAACCTTCATCTGCTAGAAAATTTTAAAAGTCTGCACCTTTAATTATGCTGTAAAAATATTGTAAATCTTTGGCAGCATATTTGAAAGCCTTCGTGTTGTCTGAATAAAAGGTGTGACAGTTTCCTCTTCTTGAAATGAAACATCTGAGAGCCAAAATGAATTTGTTTGCAGACATATTGGAAATGAGTTCTAGATGTAACGCTCGTGTAACAGCGCAAGTAAACAATAAGATGTATGATTTCTGAATGTCGTTTCCAAACTTAATGTAAACTGGACCTGTGAAATCCATGCCTGTAACATAAAAAGGTGGAGTTTCAACAATTCCATCTCTAGGTAATTGAGCTGTCATTTGGTTCGCTTGTTTTACTGCATATTTTCAATAAATTAAACAATTTCCTAAGACTTTCTTTACCAACTGACGGCCTTTAGAAATCCAAAATTATCTGTTGTTCTTTAGCTAAAGTTGCTGCAACTCCTGCATGCAGAACGTTATTATGTTCCTTTTTACAATCAATTCAGTAAATTTGGAATCTTTAGAAAGAAAAACTGGATGTTTCTTGTCAACTGAATATTTGGTTTCTTCTAATCTTCCCTTAATTTGAAGAATTTTATTTTCATCAAGAAACGGTGCCAAGCTGAATATATTAGAGCTTGGAGCAATTGACTTGTTAGATTGAAGAGTCTTAATTCCAGGTGTGAAGAAATCCATCTGGGCTTTATGAACACAAAATATTTGAGCATCTTGAATTTCAAAAGCACTTAATGTTCCACTATTAGCAGGTAGTTTTCTTGCCTTAGTAGCAAAACATCTAATCCATGCCACAATTCTGAGATATTTCAGCATATTACTGAATTTTGTTATATGCAATAGTCGATCATCTCTTTTCACAACAATGTCATAAACAGATATCTTACTACGGCATTCTAGTTGTTCATTGTTTCCCACTTCAAACTTCGGTTGAACTGGACAGTCTACACGTTTGTTTTGTTACCATTCTGGTCCAAACCACCAAAGTGAACAAGTCTTCAGAGAATTTACACTCAAACCTCTGATTAATAAATCAGCAGGATTCTTCTTACTGCTACAATGTTTCCAGTTATTGAGATTTATCAAGGTCTTGAATTTCTGCAACCCTATTGGGGACAAAAGATTTCCAATTGCTAGAAAGATCCTTTAATCCAATGTAATGCGATTTGCGAACCTGTCCATAAATATATCTGTTGCCAAAATATGATTAAATAATTTAGTTAGATATTTTGCGAATTCTAGCTGCCGTCACTGCTCCCATCAATTCCAGTCGGGGTAATGTTAAGCTTTTAAGAGAAGCTTACTCTGGTCCTTGATAAAATGAAACTTGTTTTGATTTCATCAAATTTATTTGTATATCCGAAATATGCTACACATCCATATGCGTTATTACTTGCATCGCAGAATATACGTAATGAAATGTCACTATTTTGCTTATCAACCTCTTGAAAGTATTTTCTATCTATCAATATTTCTCGTAAATGAATTATTTCTGCAAGCCATTTCTTAAATTCAGTTTCAATATCATTTGGAAGCTGTTCGTCCCTATCAATACCCTTTATCTATATTTGTTGTAGTAGGATTTTAATTCTGATCATGAATGGTGATATAAATCCATTGGATCATAAATTTTAGCAGTAACATGTAATACTGTTCTTTTAGTATACAGCACACAACTAGTTGAAGATATTTCCAAAGATTTTAAATCTAGTTTAATAGTATCATTTTCTGTATCCCAATTAAGACCTAAAATTCATACTCACATGCCTTAAAATCGTAACTGCATCAATGACAATTGGTATGCCTTTTCTACTGTACTCGTTCCATAATACAAATCATCGACATATAAAGATGAATTTAACATTTCATAACTTTCAGGATTTTTAGTGATTTATTTTTTAATATGGTGCTTTATTATGGCTGCTAGAATGAATGCACTGGTACTAATACCAAATGGCAAACATGTCGTGTTCATAATTTTAAACGATTCACTGTTGTCATTCTGAAACCAAAGAAATTTTAAATATTTGAGATCTTCCTCGGCAATACTTATCATTAGAAATGCCTTTTCTATATCAGCGGAAAAGCGATATCGTGTTTTCAAAATTTAAGAATGACATCTAATATGTTAGGATTTAAATTAGGTACAACCTGTAACAAATCATTTAAGGATTTAGAATTTTCTCCTTTACATGATGCATCGAAAACAATTCTAACATGAGAAGTTTCTTTATCTGATCTTATTACTGCTCTATGAGGCATATAATAATCTGATTCTAAATCTTTGACATACTTCAACAATTCCGTAATCAAGTTGATCTTGAATTATTTTTGTGTATTCCTTACGCATTTCTACATCCCTATCCAATCCATCTCTCAAAATCTCAAAACGCTTCTTTGCAATATGAAAATTATTATTTAATTCATCAGGGTTAGATTTCCAAAGCAATTTAATTTGATATCTTCTCTTATCAAAGGATAAAGAATTTTTGAATTGATTAATTATTTGTTTATCTTTAACAGAGAAGTCTACGTTTTCTTTTGAAATACCAACTGAGTCTAATTCCCGAAACACTCTTAGGTCATTCATTATCGCATTGTTCATAATGGTAATATTTTGTAAACAAGCTTCCGCTTTTCCAAATTTCGAACCTGTAATTACCCATCCTAAGACAGTTTTTAATGCAGCTAAATGTTTGTTAATTATGATTTTTTCATCTAAGATGAATTTCCGAAACATATCGGATCCTATTAGGATTTCAACATCCAAATACTTATCTCTGCAGCATGAGTCAGCAAGCGGTAATTTATGCCTAGTCATGAATTCTGACACTTGTTTATCCAGAGGGTAAATTATGGCACCAGTAATGCTTGGGATAACAAGAGATTCGATTTTTATTGAATACTGCATATTATGTCTAGCTTTGATTTCAAATTCGATGACTGGATACTTCTTTTCTGAAGTACATTCTATTCCGAAGGAATAAACAGAAAGTAATTCATAGTGAATAGGTTTTAACTTGAGTGTATTTGCTAAATGTTTAGTGCAGAAACTTCTTAGACTTCCATTATCAAGTAATTTAGAAATAAATACTGAATTTACAATAACTGCACATGTTTGTAAATAAAAATTTTTGGAACATGCCATACTTGTATTACACTATAAAATTGAACTGATAGTTTCAGAATTAGAATTATTTAACTCTTGAGTATCTTTAGCATTACAATTTAAATTCAATGATTCTTTACATTTGTTCTCAATATTATTCGTTTGATTCATTGTTGTAGTATTACTATTTCGGTTATTACCCAGATGAATGGAACTATGATGACTTTCACTTTTGCACGTAAAACAAGAAAGTTTATTAAAACGACAGTTTTTACCAATGTGACACATTTTGAAACATTTGAAACAATGTTTAGTATTCTTTAAAATCAGTTTTGAAACTTTGCACTCAGATCACTAGTTTTTCCTAATGGTGTTTGAAATTTTGTTTCGTGTTCATTTGAATATTTGTTGCATGTCAAAAATAAGGTTTTTTCTCTGCTTTCAACTTCTATTTTTAGAATATTAATTATTTTTGAGACCTTCCAATCTTTGTCTATCCCACATTTTTTAGTGATCTCCAGAACAACATCTTGTGGCATTAATTTAATCAATATGGTACATAATAGAGAACCATAAGTTTCTGAATTTACCCCTAAGGCTTCTAAATTGCGAACTTCTGTTTGACAAGTATCTAATGATTCTCTAAGCAGAGAGACGTCTGTCGATTTCCTAACAGGTGTTAGATTTAATAGCTTATTTAAATGAGAATTAATGACCAACATTTTTTGTCCAAATCTTTCCTTTAAGGTTTCTATTTGCTGCTTCATAATTTTGATTTGTTAGTGTAATTCCTTTAATTGAATTTGCGGCTACTCCTGTTAAATATGAGTGTAAGTAATAAAATTTGTCTACATTAGATAAATCTTCATTTCTGTGTACCGGGCATTCAAACTGATCCCAGAATCTTTGCCAATCGGCGGGATCGCCATCGAATCTTCTTATTGTTAACGATGGTAATTTAAATAATTGTTTTTCTAATTTTAACAAGCCCCTACACCTTTAAAAACATGTGTTCATGAAAACATAGAAAATTTTCCAAAACTACTGCATGTACTTAGTAAGTGGCATACACAAATAGGTATGTGAAAAGGGCAAAAATCACTACAAACTTTGCAGTCACTTTGGTCATTTGTGTGGGTTCTGTTGGATATTGTGGATTACGAGCATGATCTGCATTTTCTTGATATTCTGCGATATAAACTCTAAAATGTCGTGTAACATTAAAATTATGAGGGGGAAAAAAAAAAGCCAATTTTGCTCTGGGTGAAGATAATTTTTAGATTGTCTTAAAATGAACAAGGTTCAACAACTGTAGCTAGGAGATATTAAAAACCTTAAAAAAAAAGTGAAGATGCTATTGCATAATTGGAGTCTTCTGGATCAAAAGTTAGTGCAAAATCAACAGTATACACGAGAGAAATTATTGTTGCGTTCTTTGTGTACTTGGTTTACATTTAGTGATAGCAGCTTTCAACTTACATGAGCAATTAATCAATTTTTCATAATACTCATTACATTTAATAATTTCGGTTTTCTGATTTCTTTAACATCCCTAATTTGACTTTGAATTTCAGAATCTATTTTTTTAACTGTTTAAATCTTCAAATTTATCTATGTTCTGAAAGCTCTTCCAACTCTTCTTCTCCTGTTTCAATTTCTAAAATTCAAGCTTCGATTTTAGAAATTAATCTTGTTGTAAGAGATCTAAGTGTAGCTCTTTTAGCCTTTGCGATTTTCATTTCGAAATCACTTTTAACAATGCTTTCAAATTAACTTGATATCTTCATTAACTAAATCTCTCTTCTGATTTTAATTACATAAAGAAAAGAAGTCATTTTCAACTTGCTCAATCATTAGTTCAATCAAAACGAAAGTAATTTGCAATATAAGATTCATTTCTTAACAAAGCAACGTGGTTAGCATCAATGGTTCACTACTTACTACGTCGCAAACTGAACTAACATTCTTTTCTCAGAAGAGAAGCGCCCTCTAATGGCGATACAAAAATAGTTTGTGGGTTTTTTCAAAATTTACAGAAAACAATTACCCACTGGTCATTTCCATTATGGAAAGTACAATAAATTCAAATTTCATGGACTACCTGAGATATTTCAAGTCTATATATATCAAACATGAATCAAGATTTATTGTTAGAGACCATACTATAATTTTATGCTATCTGAGACAGATCAATGAGTGCTGCAAACAGTGTTTGTATTGCTTGATGGGAGGCAGTGGAAAGATCTTCTGGAAAGTAGTACCCAATTTGAAATTTCTTTCAAAGAGCACTTCATACCTGTAGATGGTAATAAATTATTAGTATGATAGTTTATTTAGATTCCACAAGTTGTTTTCTATTGTACTAATTAATCTATATCAATGGATTATCCTTCTGTGACTTAAATGCAAATAATTTTATCCTCCTAAATCCTTCTGATCCTTGTACCAAGCAATAAATCAAATGAAAGAATTGGCTCCTTTTAGCTTCATATTCTACTTCCCTCATCTGCTTGTAATATGTGCTAATTTAATTCTGAGATGTCCTTATAATCATATAAGAATAGAATAGGTTTTTAATGCATTATATCCTTGAAAACTGAACCCAAAACCTCTCATCCTGTACGCAAATGTTCTACCACCAAATTTCAAAATAATCCTCTTTGCCTCATTTCTAAATAGTTATAACTGCCAAGTTCTCTTATATTTCTTCAACTTACTGAACAGGACACACAGAGGAAATTATAAACATGCAATATCAACGATAGAACACATTTCAAGTCCTTAATCACATTATTTATCACATGGCAATTTCTATTAAGTTTAATTTTTATAAGCAAATTCTAAGCAAAGAATTTCTAAGTTAAAAATAAATACTCTAATTATTCAATTATCAAGACAAATCCATTACTTTTAATATCACCTTAATTTGAAAAAAATATGCAATCATTGCTAAAAATACTTAATAAGGGTAAAAATTACTACACATATAAAAAAATAAAAATGTCTGAGGAAATAACAAAAGGATACAATGAACTAATGGTCGACAGACATGTAAAATCTCTCCTGCAAGATACTCTTCAGTAAGTTTTGAAGGAAGTCTATTCAGTTGCATATTTTCATCCTCTTTTGGTAGTTTCCAAGTCCTAGATACCAGTGGAGGTGCTGTGGAAATAAACATATACATGGCTTAAATTTCTTTTTTAAATTAAAATCTAAATATGAGAATTTTAATACCAAAAAGTTTAGATTTAGAAGCATTACATATTTACTTATTGTTTGTGACAAAATATCATTTATTAACTATGTATTTTTACTAGTAAACTTTAGACAACTTACTTATCTTTGTTAAAAGTAGATAAGTATATCTGCAAACAAATACATAAGCACATGATGGGCAAAAAAAAAATACTTTACCTAAAAAAAATATACATTTTATGTTAATGCATTACTTAAGTAAAATTATCTTAGTTCTCGTAAAGCAAGCTATGAGATCATTCCACATTCATATTGCATCCTATAATGGTTCCTAAGTAATGTTTTATCCGATTTCTATAAATACAGCGGGAAAAGGGGGAAACAGTCATTTATTTATTTCTTTAAATGATGAAAAAATGGCTTCGTATGTTCAACTGAAGCAAGGGGGAAAAATGCATGGCAGTTGTTTTAGCAAAAGAAGGATACCTGATATGCGTGATCACTAATAAAAGTGGACGCGATTGATCAATAATCTTCCCCACGAAAGAAATTTTACTTACCCTTCCCCCTCCCAAAAAGATGTAAAAACAAATTTTGGGCAAAAAAGCATATTTCATGGACAAAGGCTCAGCGAGCCCCAGTAATTTTTTTGGATGAATTAAAATTTAATTTACATGAATCAGATGGTAAGTGGTATTTTTGGAGACATAAAACTTAATTCAGACTCCATATTGTTCATTACGAAATTCACAATGAGCCAAATAGTCTGAGGATGCCCGGATCATTTTAAAGGTGCTGCAAGCTGCATTTTTCAACATGTCTCTCCACCCTGTCATACAGCAAAATTGGCAAATATGGTCTAAATTATTTATGCATGATTTTGTTGCTTCATATACAGGTTTTAATCTCCTTTACATAATGATACTACAAAAGTAATTGTTCTCCCTATTTGTCACTTTTAGGTGCAAGTCTATCTAACAAAATTTAGTACAGTGCAAAGTCTGAAATCCAGACTCATCGGGACTTCGGCGATTTCAGATTTGGGATTTTTCCAGAGATCATCAGTTTAAATCTAGTACGATGGCATGTAGAAATTATAAAATTAAAAATATGAAATCATGATTTATGAAATAATGAAGTATTTATGATCTAAAGGATACCAAAATTTAGAAAAAAAAAACTTAATATTTATTTACTTACCTTATTAAACATGTCTTTCAATGTAAGTTGTTTTAAGTTGCTTTCTCTTTAATTCTGTAGACTGACATAATCGTTTGTTCAGTTACATTGTTGAAGTCCTGTAACTACTGTTTTGAGAATTCTGACTAACTTGTTAATCAAAATTTTCTCATTTTCAGTAACTTCTCTGTAACTTTCTTCATTATCGGTAGCAGTATTTTCTGGATCTAGAACCATACTACAAACTTCGCCATTCATAATATAAAAACTTCTTTTATATCATCTTCATTTATTACCGCTCTTCCACATTTCTTTACAAAATCCATTAATGGAAAAATTTCCCTTTACAATTAGCAGCTATCATCATCAAATTTAGCTAACCTTCACTATACATATTTGGCTGTGCATCATAGGCTTGGCGACTAATAACAAGTTGTTCCATTAAATTTTATCTTGCTTCTATTGTGTATTGAAACAAGCTTGATTGCATTAGTTTTTAGTTATTTATTATACTTATGTCTATTTCTTGTACATGCTTAAGGCTTATCAGAATTCTGAATAAATAAATTCCCACATATACTTAAGCCTTACTGAGGGCTGTCGCTAGATATTTTACCGCCTAATGCAGTCTATGTGGGTCCAAAATTCTATAACTCGTTGCAGCCATACGAGCCCTGGCACTGGTTCAGGGTGAATAACAAATCAGTTAATTCAAACAGCCCTAAATGTAATCTTTGGGTCTATGAGTATCATTAACAAAATCTATTTTTAGCATATGGAAAGAAATTTTTTGTAAATTTTTCTTCGTCAACATTTTATAGTGCATTTAACTTTAATCTGTAATCATCGCCAAGTGATAAAAACACTCATCGTCAACATAAAAGGTTACCATACTCCTTTATTATTCAATTACCAACATAAAAAAAAAATTGTTTAGGCATCACTACATGAGTCATTACTCAAGTTGTAATGTTTTGATAAACATGCGGTGATGAAAGAAAAGTATAATAAATAATGATTCGCCAGGCATTGGCGTCACGTCAACCATGTATGTGGAATGTTTCGGTTTGAGATGTATGCCAAAGCACATATGCAGCAATGGAGCCAAATTACTGATGGTACAAATTTATGCTAAAAATGATTGTTTCTTCAATAACAAGCTATTTTATTTTGTATCGAAGTGAAATTAAGAATTGCGATTCTCCAGATGTTTTATTATGCGCGCAGGGAGAAATCAAATACGCATGCATAAAGCCTAAGAAAAAACTTTGGTGGTTTGAGGTCTGGAATTTAGATCATTTCGGATAATGGACGTCCGGATTTCGTTAAAGTTTTGCATTGGCCTGGGAATAGTCATGATTTTAAATCCCACTGAAAATTATTGGCATATAACGGGTACCAAAATTGCTGCTGAGATTAAACTGTACAAAAGCATTATTAGGATTTGGTTCTAATTCACGAGGATTGCATTCAGAAGTTGATACCTTCTATGCTGGACCGCTGCAAAGCTGTCATCGCATTTCTTGGAGGATCTTCTAAATACTGGAGTGATCTTTATGAGTATATGCACACCCAAGTAAATGTAATATGACTACAGTTACGTAGAATTTACATTAACTACAAAATTTGTGAATCAATTACAATGTTCCTATAGCATTTTGCATTCTTTTTCATTTTTTTGTGCAATAAGTAATTTATTATTGCTCTTAATTTACACAGCACTACATGGCCTATGTATTTTAGCCTACGAATATCATTTCCAATCTCTCAGTGAGCCTAGCAAAACATATGGCAATGCCTCCGATCCCAATAACAGAACAGTAAAATAATAAATGATTCATCAGGTTATGTAAGGATTATATGATATTAAATAGGAGTAAATCAGTGATAAACTTTGACAGAATGTTCTGACTTAAGATGAATGCTGAAAAATAAGGTTGCAATGGAATCAAATTATTAATAATATAGACTTATGCCAATAAATTATTGTGTTTCTATAACATGAGTGCTTTACTTAGTGTTGAAGTGAAATTAAGAATTAGGACTCCCCACATGTTTTATTATGAAAAATGTCTACTGCACATGCACGAATCATTAAGCATATGTTACTCTCAGAATCTAATTCTCTCTCTCTTTTCACAAAAAAATTCTTAAAAAAAAAAAAAAAAAAAAAAAAAAAAACCTCTATTAATGATCAGAAAAATGTAGTCAGAATGATTACATCTGAAAATTAAAACAATTTTAGCTTCCTAGAGTGAATATATTTTTCAAAAATAATAAAGAAACCTTAAAATTTGAACATACTTCTTATTATTTAAATTAATTTTCAAGTACATTTTTGAAAAGTACATGCTAGGTAATTTATGATTATATTCACGCCATATGTTGATTACGTATATTACCTTTGTCAGTAACTTATAGAACAGCAAATTATTTTTACAGTAATTAAGAACTTTCCCCTTGTAACTCATGGAATTATGATCCCCTTTTACAGTAATTTTTTGAAATGTACATAAATTTGCAATTTTAATCTTACTCAGCAATTACAGAAGATTACTTGTAACATGTGAAAGTAAATCTTAATTTATTCAGGTAAAGAAACAAAAGCTTACCCTTTATTTATGTCACTTCTGAAATATACTCGTACCTGTATCTAATGTTCGTACTGCTCGACCAGATCTTTTTAACTTAAATGTAACTTCTACATTTTTTGAAATAATAGCAGCTGCATTTGGATTTCCCTTTCCTTCACATAACTGGGAAAGATCATGTCGTCTGTTTAAGGGTTTGATTGGTGGAGAATGCTGCAGTCCTTGATCATATTTAAGTATAAGAAGAATACGAATTACAGTCCTGAAATGCAATTAAAAGTAGTTAACTAAATGTCATGATTGGCACTCTTGTTATTTAATTGAGTTTTGATTCTTTACATCTTACATAAAAGAACTGAATACATTTTCCGATTGTCAAATTTTTCAGTTTTAAAATAATATGCAAACAGTTAAAGTAAAAAATCTTTCCAAAACACATAGATAAAATTTCGACTAAGAGAGTAAAAAAAAATAAGATTTTCTATGACATAAAATTTGAACAATATAATAATTTCTTATTCTTAAGAAGATAGTTCCACAAGTATTGTTGTGAAAGTTGAAATATGGAAAAACTACAATTTCCGAGAGGTTTCCATGCCTTGGCAACATGCTTTCAAAAGAAATTGGAACTGATTTAAATTCACTTTATAGTGCATAATGCAGGTTACTATACTCTATATAATTTTGATGTAACAAACATTAATTTTTAAATAGATATTCTAAATTTTATGTTCTATAGATAATTTTCTTACACTTCCTTGCTGAGCAAATTCTGGATGCCTTTATTAATTTATTTTTTTCATCTTAAGTACCTACAAATATCCTAGAAATAAAATTAATATTAAATAATAATAATAAATAATATAATAATAATAATAATAAAATTAATACAGTACAAAGTCTTTAATCCAGACTCGTTGGGACTTTGGCGATTCTGGATTAGGGTTTTTTTTTCGGATTATAGATCATCAATTTATATCTGGTACAATGGCATGCAGAAATTATACAATTAAAAATATGAAACCATAATTTATGAAGTAAAGAACAATTATGATCTAAAGGGTATCAAAATTTAGAAGAAAAAAAAAAAAAAGCTTAATATTTATTTGTTTACTTTATTAAACATTTCTTTCAATGTAAGTTGTTTAAGTTGCTTCGTTTTTTGTGCTAATACTTCGGAAGCGGTACATCGAAACATGCTTTGTAGAGCCTTTGGCAGTTCCAGAACTGGAAACTTTTTTACATAATCAAAAGTTCAAGCTTAATTTTTATAAGATTGCTCTAACAATCTGCAAAAAATAATAAGCCAGATCCAAATAGAAGATTAAGGACAGCGCAATCTGCAACATTAACTGAAATGCCTCAGAATCAGTAAAGATAAGGTACTATTCGGTTTCGAGGGCCATAAAAAATCGCCAAACTATTGTTGATGCCAATGCTGCCAAAAAGAATTGCGGCAACCCTAATAATTGCAGCAAGAAAGGAAGTATAATAGTAGTAAATAACTATTTAAGATTGATGTTTTAATTTAGATGAAAGGTTAATTTCATATAATACTTTTTTATTATTATAATTTATATGAAAAAGGGCTAAACATGACTGAATGGAAGCATAAGAGTAAATAACTATTTCAAATCATTATTATAATTTATATAAAAATTGCTAAACATAACTGAATGAATGCCTGCATCGCTATTTCACTAAAAATGCGTTAAGCAGTGGGTGATTCTGCACTTTATCCAAAATTCTATTTGCCGAGTTTTCGTCATGGGCAATTCTCAAATTGTTAAATTCATAGGATATCAAAAAAGGATTTAAAATCAAAAAAGGATTTCAAAATTAAACTGGTATTTCAATGGCGTCTTAAGAAATATAGAACTATATAAACTTAAGCAATCTGAAATCACTGCGCATGCTAGATTTGGCGCGCTGTTAAATGGGCGCGTTTGCTAGAATTGGCGTTTTTGCGTGTACATTTTCGCTGCAATTTTTTTACAGTCCTCGAAACTGAATAGTACCAAAGATAATTTTAGCCTAGCTTATACTGTCCATTATACATTAAACACACATGCATAAACGCATAATGCACATGCGTAAAGCATACAAAAAAGAAGTTTGTGGCTTAGAGGTCCGGATTATAGATTATTCCGGATAATGGACGTCCGGATTACGAACTTTGTACTGTATATATCAATAAATTAATTTCATGCCTAAATAGAAGTTTTGTAAATATTGAGTTAATGAGGGAAAAGCATAATTCAAAAAAGCAAAGCAACAATAAGTAAAACATCCATAAGACAAATGCCATTAAAAACAAGACATCATTATGAAAATTCCAGTACCATAATTTTGTGTTAAAGTAAAGAAAAAGTAAAAATTTAATTACAATTTCATTTTAAACAAAGAAATCCAAATAAAATGAGTCACTGAAATCAAAATAAAATGAGACTCAAAGAACAAGGTGCATGGCAAAGACAGTTTTCCATCTTTTTAATTATAATAATTTTATACATATATATAAGATAAAAATATGTAACTATAATTTAAAATACTGTCACTTTTTAGGTAATGTTTGATTTAGATAGAATGGAGGTTAATGATAATTTAAGGCAGGATACTAAGAATTCAGATATCTCAATGGTGATAGTTGAACATTTCTCCAGACTGGATTATGAGGCAAATGAGACCTAAGGTAGAATAGTAAAATAATTCTCAAAGTAGGATATCTTGGGTAATTAAAAAATGGACAAGGATTTTGCCTAGGAACAGCAAACCTGGGTGCATTAGTCGGACTTCAGGTGAATTTGAAGTGGGAAATCATTTTCTTGCTAGGGAAATCCAACTTTGAGGTGAACTTACATTTTGAACGGACAGTAACATATGATATTGCTTTGGCAAACCCTGGATCAAGGACTTAATAAGAATTTTATTACTTATATTAAATTTAGAACCTAATTTTAATTTCTGGAGGAAAAACTTATCAATATTTTCAAATTTACTGTAAGTGACGAAAGAAACTTATCAAAGTTAACATGTTCTGAACTGGAAAAATGTTCTCTTTTAATAGCATTCCAACTATATATTTTGACGCATTCGCAGATATAGAATGACAAGGTTTCTCCCAACAAATCTTGGATATTAAATTTGGCTTTATGTACAGAAACAATTTTGGCTTGGGACATCTTTAAAGTCTAAAATCTTGTTCTCATTTAAAATTTTTTCAAAAAAAAAAAAAAGAGCAACCCTTTAAAAACATTAAAAATTTTATCAATAAATCATGAAACACTAAAATTACTTACTTATAAATTCAAAATTACTTAAAATTAAACTTTTGATACCAACAAATTTTAAATTAATATTTTCATCAATCATTGGTTCATTTGTTTAAAAACAAATATTCTAAGAAAAAAAACTTTACATACTCAACTTTCAGAATAAACCCAATTATTGAGTAAGTTGTTTAGGTACTCTTCTGTTATTGGGACCAGGTTCAGAAATGTATTGCATGCATACACCTATATGCACATAGATACATATATATATTCCTGAGTCTGGTCAAGATAACTGAAAAGTACCATTACTTATGATATAAACATGAAGAGGAGAAACTCAAAATTTTGTAGCATGCAGACTTCCAGCATATTTTTTAATCTCGAATGTGACTTTCTTTATTCAATGGAAGAGCCGAAAGCAATTTTGGATATTTAATTTGTTGACTGAGGCATGGAATATCTTTCACACTGTGATCGGAAAAGTATAAAAATATCAGAAATTTGAAATGAACAATTTCACCAAACTTCACTATGTTGTGGTCACTTCACTATTGGTATTTCACTTCCACAATGACGAACAAATAACTTAGATGTTGTACACTAGAAAATGATGTTTAATGTTGTTTTAGAAAATTCCCACACAATACTTCAAACTTATGATGCACCCAATCATTCTTGACTAACCTTGGTCCAAACTCAGAACGGCTTTTACTTTTCGCTGACAGAACATTACATTTTATTTTTTGTTGTTAAACTTTTGCATATACTTCATCCACTGGAGTTAGCAGTAAAGGTTTATGCTTAATTTTTAATTTGGGTATTTACCCTCTCTTTTCTATAAACAGTAACAATGTTTGCTGAACTGTGTCATTTTGAGACTAATTTATGTCATATGACTCTTGCATAATGCTGGTGACTAAAACTCAAACAGCCATTAATAATTTTACAGCATTTTTAATTGTCCAATCAGATACATCAAAAACAAAACTAAATCACTCTGAATTAAGATTTCATCCTGAACACAAGGCACTTGCTTTCTGCACTTTGGCTAAACAGACTGTTACCTGCTGCTTCTCTTCTTACCACAAATTTATTAAAAATGTAAAATGCTTGAAAGAGGCATGATTAGAGTGACAAGTATTTGTGCCTGCAAATGTTTACTAAAATTAAAATGAATATTTAATCTGCCTTGGCTGTCAAGTCTCTTCATTACAGATCAGCATTCTATGACATCAATATTATAACATAATTATATTAAAGTCTGCAATATTATATATACATGTATACATTAGGTAGGTTTTACAATGGATTGAATGCATACAGAATTGATGGCAACATGACAAAATTGCTTTCACTTTCATGATGCACTGTAAACAATACATAATTTGCTTCTAGCTTGATTCTTGCACATAACTTCCAAAATATGAAATCCTCTTTATTTGAAATGTCTGTTATTGCTTCAATAACATTTTACTTTAATTTATCTTCTAAAAATTTAAAAAATAGATTAGGAATATTTTCCAAATTATTTTGTAAGTAGACTGATTCTTTGTTCCGCATTTGCCCAATTATAATTTAGAGCTGATGTGTCATGTTTCCACGGCAATCTAACTTTGTAGCAAGATTTTGATACACTACATTTGATTAAAAATATTCGATGACTTCATTTTCAGTTCAACCAAAGTTCTCCTTCTTATTAACAAGCCTGAATTTTCCAAATTCCAGAACTATGTTATTTTTTCAGAAATCAAATCTTCCCCCCACAACTACACTGAAAGTTGAAAAGCCATTATCGTCACCTTTTCACCCTTGGAGGCACCAGCTAAGAATAATTTCCACTGCCACAAAAGGTTCTTGTTTAAGAATTTGATGTGTTTCATTACGATGGTGTAATAATAATCTCCTCCAATTAAAATGACAACGGATTCTTTGCTATCAGGAGAATCTAAGAGTATCCAATTTTTTAAATGTCTGTTTTGCCTAATTATTT